AAAATGGTAGGATTTATGAAGGAATTTAAAGAGAAATAAATTATTATTTTAAATTTTAAAAACACCTACAAGAACTTTTGAGGACCTCAGCTGACGAACTCATCATACGGTCGGTGACAGACTCGGTGACTATCGTCAAAAGAATGAGGTAAAAACAACGTAAATAAATTATATTTCAGACTTGTGTTTAAGTTTTTCTTTGTTTGTTGCTATTTGTCCAGTATTATTAATGTTTAAAAGTGTGTTACGTTAAAAATATTGTGGCATTTTTATGAAGTTTTTCAAAAATGTCCAAAAACAAAATCATCAGAAACTCGGTGGTTGACAGTACAATAGTGGAAGTCAAAAGCAAAGTAAGTAATTATTTACTTGTTTTATTAACAATTTACTTTAATTTTATAAACAAGTTACTCTAATTAAGGTACTAATTTTGCTAAAATAATTCACATGTGAAATTTCAAATGTTCATATTTCTGATGTGTTGTCATAACTGTATTTTATAATGAGTTTCAATTAACTTAAAGTTTGATGCTGAATTCCGGCGTTTTTCCATTGAGCGAGATCATCAGGCAAAATTTGAAGACTTTCATGCCCTTCTTGAGCGCCTACATAGACTGAAAGATATAGCTTTCTTGGTGTCATATATTGACCCAAGTGATCAAGATCTGCTTCCAATAAATAATGATGATAACTTACGAAGAGCTTTATTTAATGCCAAACCACTTCTTAGAGTTATTATACAAAGAAAAGGTAAATGCTGGTGAAAATATACCTATTAAGCTAATTGTAGAAACAAGTAGAAACTGAGAACCATTATTTTTCATTCTCCATTTTTGTAATACTTATTTTCCTTTGTTTAACGATTTAGGTAGATTCAGTAATACTAGTTACAAATTTAGATGTTAGAACAATAGGTGTAGTAAGATGTGCATTAATTTGCAAATAGACATTTATTTCTTATCTACTTTGTAGGAGAAAGTTTGGAAGAACACAATGGCTATGGAACTATGAAACCGCGAAATTTAATATCAAGTATATTAGGTGGAACTCCAGGAAGAACAAAAGTATTACCGATTTCGAACCCGCATGACTTTCGCCAGGTGTCGGCTATCATAGATGTTGACATTGTTCCTGAAACATGCAGACGTGTTAGACTGTTAAAACATGGCTCAGACAAACCTCTAGGCTTTTACATAAGGGATGGCACCAGTGTGCGAGTAACACCTAATGGTAAACACTTTATAACCATTTATAAGTATTATAACTGCTCTCTTGCTATTTTTTCTTTTATCATTAGTTAGAAGGTAGTTTTTTGAAAGCAGAATGATAACGTGAAATAAATAAGCAATTTATTCTAGCTGAAACTAAACAAGATCTGATATTCTAAGTAATATTATTCTGATAGGAAATAATTATTTTATTAATTTATCCTGGATACTTGATTTAAATATATTTTATTATATAAAGAACAGGAATTTTCTCATTCTCCTACCACAGCAATTGCATCCATTCATCCAGGAAAAAACTGATTAACGTCGATTGCATTTTATTTAAATTTTCTCCATTGAAATTTGCTGTATCAGTTTTGAACTGTTTAAGCACATCGATTGTTCGTTTAGGTTTGGAAAAAATACCTGGAATTTTTATATCGCGTCTTGTGCCAGGCGGCCTTGCTGAATCGACTGGTCTTCTGGCAGTAAACGACGAAGTCTTGGAAGTGAATGGTATTGAAGTAAGTGGCAAAACCCTGGATCAAGTAACCGATATGATGGTGGCAAATAGTTCTAATTTGATAATTACCGTCAAACCGGCCAATCAACGAACGGTGGCTCCGGTGAGGCGAGGCAGTTTTAGTCGCAACTCTCAATTATCGAGTGGTTCACAACAGTCAGTTGGAACGGCAGCTTCCGATCCCGATGATAGATTTGATCAAGACGAAATTGTTGATTTAACGGGGATCACGCTGGAAGACAGCAGTATATCAAAAGAAGACGGTGTGCTGCATCTGTAACCATCACTTAAATGTTACGGTGATTGTTTTTTGTTTTCTTTTGTCGTCAAAATATTAATCATAGAGATCTAAGAAGGCGGCGTTATTATGTTTAGAAAGAGAATGAATTGATGGTCTTCGTTTAATTACTGTGGTAACTGCTGTTTATCCAGAGAATGACGGGATCCAGTTCATTTTTGCTTTTTCTTTCTAAGGTGACATTGCTTTTTCAGCTCGATTACTTGCTCCTTTCTTATATTTCCATGATATTAATTTTTTTTTGTCGAGTGTGGCTCGTAATATAAATAAGGGCGTAATATCATCTGATTTTCATAATTATTACCTAAAAAGGAACTGAAACCATTAATCATTACGTTTTATATCGTAGCTCGTGTTTCTTACTATATAATGATTATGATTTTATATAAAGTGTTCTATTTTGTATACAGTCTCATACTTAAATATGGCTTTAAAACTTCCAAAAGTTTACTACTGTTTCCTAGAATAGTGAAAACATTCCTTATTCATCATTTTTTCCGTAAATGCTCAAAATTTACTAAGTGGTTGCTATACCGCTATGTAAAATGGAAATAATTCGTTGAACTCTTTCCTTTAATTGTTTGCTAGTAATTTTAAACTTATTTACATTTTTTTGCCATTTAGCATCACGGTAGCTGTTAAGCAAAATAACTGCTGGTGTTTTTATTTTATCATTTTTATTTTT